GCGTTCCGTAACGCCTGGACGATTGATTTCCACGGAAGAAGGTGGGATAGTTGAATTATAGAATGCATTTCTAATTTTATGAAGATTTCGCTATGCCCAACATCTGGGAGGATCATAAGAGGTAACGCGACGGAATAATGTGTCTTCTTGCATTCTAACTCCATAAGCATGTTAAGTTTTTTCCCATCAGTTTACGTTTTGACATTAAAATCTAGCAAAAACTTTGGAAGGTTTCGAATGGGCATTCAGGCATGGCAAGAACTGTGTAATACCGAGCACGAAATATCTGCTTGAGCTGGTTGATGATCGCCTGACATCCCAGTTGTCAAATTTATTTTGTTTGAGTACAATAGCTGTAATGGAATCCAGTATTCATAGAGTTGTTTTGATTTCGAACTCTATTGAAACATATTAGGATGCAAATTGTTCTCTTAGTTTTAAGGATTTTTTTTGAAGAAGGAAACTGTCGATTATAACGTATCATTCTTACTCTTTTTCGCGACTTGTACAGTTTACTGACAGTCAAGTTAATCATAGAATACGTGTTCAACAATTCTCCTTTAATTTCGACTCTTTTCTTCAGATATACTAGCGATAGCTAGCGAGACACTAGACCGTGAATTACCTAACGAGATTCGCCTGTTGGGTGTACGTCTGAGTAATTTACAGTTCACTGATGATCGGCATTCTGATACCACTATATCGGTGAGTGATGCATCTAAGCCCTGTCAGACATAGGTTAGATACATAGAGCCACGACTCTGGTCACCTAACTAATGAGCTAAGAAAGAGTAGGATCCTCACCTAATAGAGTTTGAGTAAATCGATCTTATCTACACCTAAAAGTTTGAAGATCGAGAATTATATGACTAGTAGAGGGAGGAAATTTTCACTTTATTGTTGACAAAATAAGACTAAGATGTCGTAGTACATAAGAACTATGGGTGCAATGATGAGGCCATGAAAAATGAGAAGGTGTAGTTTTGAAGGTAGAAGTTGACGTTGAAAGATCCACAAAAAGTGAAGAGTAAGTGCTGAATTCGCTCTATAACTATCTCTTTCAAAACAATTGATGTGAAACTTCGAAAAGCATGCATCGTCGGAAGTAATCGTTATTATGATTAGCAATTGGACTCTATAAGTATGCACGTCAAATAGCCTAGAGTAGTGAAAGTCAAGAGAATATAGAGAATAACTCGTTATGGTGGAAATTATGAAAGTTGCGCAGTTGTCAACTGGATTCTCCATACGATTCCGAGCAGAATGATATATGGATGTTGGGGGTTTCGTTGAGTACCGAGATAAGCCACCAGAGGCAAATGCCCCGTCGGCTCTGGTCGTTCTCTGCCACCTCTCAAAATTGCACACTCTGCATCCAAGCGTCTTCCACGGGGCATTTGGCTCTGGTGCCCTTTTCTTCGTTATTTGCAAATTAATGTAAGCAAATCGTAGATCATTATGAAGGCCTTGAAAGGTATATTTAAACAAACAACTGCACAGCGTTCAATTTTTTGGTCTGTGTGAAAGAAATAAGAACCGTGTTTTTTGTTTTCTTCGACTTTTAAGTCAAATTGAAGTTTTTAATTCCATTTTCCTCTCATTCGACTGGAAATCTTATTTACAATACAGCTGACAACTGCGCAACTTTCAGTTCTAAGTATCCAGCGAATTATTTCAAAAGACGCACCAAAAACCCGTATTTCTTTTTAGGACTTTCTGAAGATTTCTTGCGGCCAGACTCTCAATCTTGAGATTATTCCTTTCGCAATATTGCGTTGTAGAACGTAGACACTGCACAACTCTCAGAAATCATGAATTTGAGGGAAAAATTAAAGGAAACATGCGTAAATGACTTTTCTCTTGAAGTCGTTTTTTACTTCAAATTAAGAAGAATGATTCTGCTTTCAGTCTCATTCTCACTGCTTAACTTTATAGTTTAAAGACATCACCATGCATCTCACGTGACCGCTTTCGTAATCCCATAATTCTCTTTGTTTTTCTCCCGTTTCCCACGTTTTCCGCCCTTGGTTGGCCCAAAGAGAAAAATGTATGCAATTAAAGCGCGAAAGTTCAAAATTCATGACTGCTCAAGGATGTAAGAGTGTCAAACACGTTGAAACACGTTGAATCACGTCAATATTGTTCACGATTTCACTTCTGTGTAAAAAGATGACTCTAGCTGCACAATTTTTTGAAAGTATATGCACGTATTTGAAGGAAGCGTTATGTCATTTTTGCAACATTCTTCATTGACTATAAAAAGCTTCTCATTGATTGCTTT